ATTATAATGGTCTGAATCTTTTTTTTTGTTTTGTTCGTGTCAATGATGGTTGTGAGACATTTTTCTTCCCTTATTACGTTCGGTCTGAAATGTTGTGCCTACCCTCAACCAAGGTCTTTGAGCACTTCTACAGTTACAGTGTGTGACAAGCTGGAATTTTTATTTGACGACAGAAAAATGTTACCATATCTGACTTTATTGTGTTCTTTGAAATACCAGATGTCCCTATACGACACATTTTTAGGTACCATCCTCTTTATGAATTAGGATACCGTAGGGGCAGTTCATATGCTACGTAGACCGATTTTGAGAGGTTTTAGACCTTCACCGTAGACAATCCTCCATACAAATGTTGAACCGGAATCATGGATTTTTTTTTGAGCCGTAGACACTCGCCCAACCCCCACGTCACAGTGCACACTGGGCAAAAATTGACAAAACTACGACTAAATTGATCTCGGCAGCCAAACGGTTTCAGTCAACATGTTATACATATTCTCAAAGGAAAACACTCTGCTGAATCGATTGGTGGTGGTCTCATTGGCCGGAGACTTATGCGTACCGAGATAAAGGGCCAGGATCAACCCGAGTTCCCGGTAAAGTAGGAAATGCCACTATCTATCGACATAATTTTACACTTTACTTAACGTATGTTACTGAAAATTGATAGTACTAAGTATGTATGGCGTAAAGATACCATAGACGCCCTCAGAAAAACTCCACTGGCCTAAATGTGGATCCGGAACGACCGATAAAGTGGTTAAATTATAAAAAAATGCACTAGTACCTTGTGATGTTTTTCTATGTTGTTCAGAATCAAGAGATCAAAGCGTATTGAATATGGAAACTATATTTTGGGGTATAGTGGCTATGGTCATTTGTTCCCAAACTATAAATTCCATATTCAATACGCTTTCATCTCGTGATTCTGAACAAACAACAGTTCAAGAACAATTTTTATAATGTTGCTACTTTATCCGTCAATCCAGATTATCCGGAGAACCAGGATATGGCCACTTTACCCCAAAATTTAAATTATTTATTAAATTCGCTTTGATCTCATAATTATGATAAAACAAAGAAAAATCGCAAGGTTCTATGACAATTTTTAGAATGTGGCCACTTTATCGGTCAATCCAGATTATCCGGAGAACCCACTTTCATAAAGTGCATATAAAGTTCCAACACAACTTTCTGGCAACTTTAGAAGCTATTGAAAGCACACGAGGAACTTCAGGCTCCAAAAAGTTCCGATGTGTACTCCTAGCAACTGAAGTTCAAAAAAAGTTCCAAAAAGCATCCCTAAACACTTCTTAGGAACTTCAGGGAAGGCTGAAAACATTGTCGCAACAAAGTTCCGAACAAGTTCCCAGTGGAACTTTCTAGCAACTTTAAAGTATCTTAGAAGTTTCCTGCAAGACTTCGTAACAACTTGTAAGTTTCTTAAGAGGTCCGTTATAGCTCATATAACAACATTTAATGTAAGTAAATATTAAATGATCAGTGGCTCAAATAAATTCATAATTCTTATTCATCAAGCCATTTCCTGGATTCGAACCCGTGTATTTGGATTTGAATCTGCAAACGCTACCCACTGTGCTACAAGTGTGTTGGAATGCCATGCGGGATAACACCAATTTGAAATTCATCATGGTGTTGTATTTCGTGTTCAAGTAAGCCAGCCTTCACTGAAAACTCCAACAGTACGCGGGACAACCGCTCACTTTAATATATCTCAGATGACGTAGTTCAAGTTCCGCCAGAAGCACCTTAGAATGCTCTTCCATTATGGTATCGGAACTTTCAAGTTCTTATAACGACTTAAAAATGAGGCTGCTTAAAATTATATTGACCACCTTCGTCTAAGCTGCTTAAGCCTCACTTACCTTACCAATCAGGCTAAGGCCTTGTTGTCCTCTGCTGTCCGAAGAAGTCGTCTCCACTCGAATCGATCTATGGCCACACTTCGCCAGCCTCGTAGTCTGCGAAGGGTCCACAGGTCGCCTTCTACTTGGTCGATCCACCTTGCCCGCTGCTCGCTTCTTCTTCTTGTTGCTGTTGGAACAATTTTCACTGGGTCGTCGTGCGGCATTCTAACGACGTGCCCAGCCCACCGTAGTCGCCCAATTTTTGCAATGTGGACGATGGATGGTTCTCCCAGCAGCTGGTGCAATTCGTGGTTCATTCGCCTCCTCCACGTTCCGTCGTTCATCTGCACTCCACCGTAGATGGTACGTAACACCTTCCGTTCGAAAACACCAAGGGCGCGTTGGTCCTACATGAGCATAGTCTAGGTCTCGTGGCCGTAGCGGACCACCGGTCTAATCAGCGTCTTGTAGACAGTCAATTTCGTTTTATTCGACCGAAGCGTCCTCCGGAGTCCAAAGCAGGCACGGTTCCCTGCCATAATGCGTCTTTGAATTTCTCTGCTGGTATCATTTTTGGTGGTCACCAGTGAGTCCACATACACGAACTCATCGCCCACCTCGATTTCGTCACCGTCAATCTGAACTCGAGGTGGGAGGCTAACATTGTCTTCCCTAGAACCTCTTCCTTTCATGTATTTTGTCTTTGATGCGTTGATGGCAAGTCCAATCCGCCTAGTTTCAGCCTTCAATCTGATGTACGTTTTCGCCATCGTCGCAAAGTTCCGTGCCATGATGTCAATGTCATCGGGGAAGGCAAGAAGCTGGATGGACTTCCTGAAGATCGTGCTAATCGTGTCTATCCCTGCTCTTCTGATCACACCTTCTAACACGATGTTGAATAGCAGGCACGAAAGTCCATCACCTTGCCGCAACCCCCTTCGAGATTCAAAGGGACTCGAGAGTGTCCCCGATACTCGAACAACGCACATCACTCGATCCATCGTCACCTTGACCAATCGCGTCAGTTTATCCGGAAATCCGTACTCGTGCATAATCTGCCATAGCTGATCTTGAACAAATGATGTGTGGGCACGTTGTATTCGCGGCATTTCTGCTGAACCTGCCGAATCGCGAAAATTTGGTCCGCGGGCACCCATGAATCCCACCTGGTATTGACCCACGAACTCTCTTGCAAATGGTGACAGGCGGCGGCATAGAATTTATGAGAGTACCTTGTAGGTGGCGCTCAGCAGTGTGATCGCGCGGTAGTTGCAGCAATCCAACTTGTCGCCCTTTTTGTAGATTGGGCATACGATACCTTCCATCCACTCCTCCGGTAATTTCTCCTCCTCCCAAGTCCTGGCAATTACCCAGTGCAGCGCTATAGCCAGTGCTTCACCACCGTATTTTAATAGCTCACTTGGTAGTTGATCTACACCAGTTGCTTTGTTGTTCTTCAGCCGGGCGATATCCTCCTCAACTTCTTGAAGATCAGGGGCCGGTAGCCTGTCGTCTTCTGCGCGTGCTCCAAGGTCTGTTGCCGTGCCACCTTCGTTTTCTGCTGCTTCACCGTTGAGGTGCTCGTCATAGTACTGCTTCCACCTCTCAATCACCACACACTCGTTCGTGAGAAGGATACCGTCCAAGTTCTTGCACATATCGGCTTGCGGCACGTAACCTTTGCTCGAACTATTTAGCTTCTCGTAGAACTTCCGTGTGTCGTTTACGCGGTACAGATTTTCCATCGTCTCTGCTGCTTAAGCCACAAATAGCCTTTTATCAGAAATTTTGGTTACTTGGGTAGTATCCGTTATTATTCTGGACGCTGAAGTGGGGCTTAGTATACACAGAAAAAAAAAAGTTTTGAATATTACATCCCAACTGCTGGAACCAGGTCAATCCATCGGTTGTGCAATATAACGTTGTACGATGTACATCGTTTTTGCGAACAAAATTACATCCATTGATGTAATATTGTATGTGCTTTTTGCTATTACATAATTATTTCATACATCAGCTTGAATTACATTGATCGATATTACATTTTTTTTTTGCTGTGTACATGGAATAAATATTTTTTATGGCACTATTTGGGTAAAACTAATATGTTCATTACTTGCAGCATGTAAAAGCGCCTTCCATTCATTTTGGCTAAGAAAATGTTTTATGAAATTATGGAATAATAAGATTATATGATAATATTTTGTTTGTGTAAGCAACAAGAAAATATTGTGAAGTTTGTGTCTGACGCATAATACCTGCCAATTTGGCTACATTAGCGTCGTTACAGGGACTTTAGGTACAAAAACAAAGTTATACTTAGTAAGGTAACCTTATCTTTTTTTGTATTGTAAGCAAATCATAAAAGGACAACTAAATTAAATTCAAGAATTGTGCTAAAATTTAAAAACATAAAATAATGAAGATTGGAAAACAAATTATTGCGAAAACGCTTGACAAATACCTTTTCTCATATGGTTTGTTTAAAAACTTCGCAAATTGTTTGGGCTCACATCTAGAAATCTTCTTGATGTATGAAGGTAAAAATACAGTTCAGTGTTACTACAGAGAAGCATGCAACAAATTCCATGAACATCAAACAATAAATATTCCATTATTAAATAATGGAAATGGTCACCAAACTACCAATTTTAAAGAAATTCTGAGAACCACTAAATAGTTTTGTTTTAAATAAATATGGCTCTTTTTACTCAAACGGTCACCCTTTGAAATATTTAAAGAGTTTTAAGTTTATAGATTTCAAACAACTAAAAGAACCAAGCACGAAAAAATTGTAGCGGCCAATCGCGGTCCTACATCAACCTTCCGTTCGTGCCCCTAGGCACAGACTCTTCAACTTTGTTTGCAACTTTATCTAGAAAGACGACCAAATGTAACCATCTTCAACCCTATAATTCAGAAGCAAACTGACGTAAATAAACTTTAAAAAAGAGATGAACGCAATCGAACAATTTACACGCTTTTCGGAAATCATCCAATTTGGCGATGACGTCCCATCATTGAAAAAGTTCGATCCAATTAACAATCCTCCCCCGTCCCAACCGTGCGTTCAATCCAATCGCACCGAACCACCCAACGGAATCCCGCTGCAATTTGAACCTCCGGTTTTACCTAGTTTTTGAGCAACCTTCCAATTGGTCCTGAGCTGTGAGACCGCGTCATTCGTCCTCCAGAGCCGGTGCTGCTGGAGACTGTGATAGTAAAAGTGATGCTGTCGGTACGCCGCCGACTGGTAAAGACCCTGGTCAGCACCAGGAGGGCGGTCCTGGTCGAGCGGGCGCGGGTGGCCTCTGCCGCCCGGCTGCTGGCGTTGTGAATCTAGAAATACACAAACAGAGACGGAAGACGGGGAAAATCGGGTGTGTCTCGCTCTTATTTGCGGCTCGAAAGCTCGGAAAAATCTAATTATAAAATAGTCGTTGGTCAACCACCACACTCAGTCAGTTTGCAAGGAGAGACGGAGTTAAAAAAAAAAATATGTTTGAAAGGACACAGGAAACGTTTTCCATCAAGTGCCACGACCGGGAAAGTTCACACTAGCTCGGTGGTGGTGCCGTCGTCGGTGAGGAACATGAAACGAACAAGGATGCGATGCGTTATGAATGCGGCTGTGAATGAACCAACGTCAACCAAATAGACGGACAGGCTTTGAACCGGGCTACGAACGGATGGTGGTGGGTGGCACGTATTAGAAGCAAATGTGTGAATGGTCACCGTGGTGAGCATGACGACGGAAGCACTAAACCAACACGGAACATGTGATGTTTATTAACGAGAAGGGGTTTTCATGCACAGAGAGCAGCGTGGGATGTGTGTGTGTGTTTGTGTGTGGGTGTGAGAGAGTGTATGTTCATTGTTCATGGTATGATGGTGTTAGGAATAATTCTGATGATTATCATACGCTCCTTTACGCACGAACTTCAGGTCAAATCATAAGGGAATAACATAACATTTTGCATAGTTATTGCGTAAAGACAAAGAACTGTCATGCTCTGCCACCAACATCCATATGAATGCAGAACATGTGGGACGTAATTAATCAATTTCTCATCCATATCCTGTTTTCAATAATAGTATACGCGGATCTATCCGGCTGTGGTGTGCTCACTGGAAAATTTCATCCCTGCCAGATGGTATGCATCCATATCTTGCGTGCATGTGCTGCATGCTATGCTCGATCCACAGCCAGAACATCAAAGCAAAAACCCATCTTCTGTGTCCTAGTGCTATTGGAATGTGAGAGATTCTACCATTGGAACTACGCCAACGAGATTACTACATCATGCAGAGGATATTGAAAATGCATATTGCACTAGAGAATACTTTAGAATAGTACTTGTTTTGTTCATTACCAAAGAATGTGCACCGCAAAAGTAGGCCGATGTTAAACTCGATTGAACAAAATAATTGTTCAAGCTCTTCTGAAACTGTATTTCCATTCGCAATTACGAACATTTTATATTGGTCTTCCGATTCGTGGAGTGCTTGGTGCACCATCAAACCTTTGCTAGTGTGCCTTGAAGGTTTTATAAGGCATGTGAATTATTTTAGTGAAATAAAGATTTCTATCAATAATGTACCTGCTTATGATTATAACATTTATGGTGCATTACTGAATTAATGTGACCAAGCTAAACATTTTTCCCCAGTTACTAGATATATTTACGTACAACGGTTTTCTGGCTCTGGCAGTCTTAATAACAGCTAAAATGGTTTCGTTTCTATATCCGACGGGTTTAGATTATATACAACAAAATGTAGGGTATTGGATCAAATTATCGATAAAACTTGCCTCTAATCCTTTTGGAAGGACGAATATAAAACCGAAACCGTCGGATGTAGAAGCGGAACCGTTTTAGCTGTTATTAAATCTGCCAGAGCCGAAAAACCGGTGTACCCAAAAATTCGAACCCCGTCGTTAAACAACCACCGTAAATATATTTCCTATTTACTCCTCAACCGTCGTTACGTCTTCCACCTTGATTGATAGCAAAAATTAAGCTGTCAAGCCATAAAAAAAAAACAACGTAAAACAAATTGTTGCGTCCAGAAAAACATGGGAATTTCAGACATTCCCGACCAAGGGGCATCCCACCGTAAACTTTAGTACTCTAGTACATTTTTTAATCTTGCATAATTTCCATCGTAGTTACCGGTTGCTAGTGTTGTTGTTTGTCGTTGTAAGCTCTGCCAATTTTATAGTTTTCGTAACTTATTAAATGAAATTATTTCTTGTTTTAATCTATTTTAATTGCACTTAAATCGTGCTAATTGGTATATGTATTTCAAGTATGCTTATCTAAAAGTGTAAAAAATCGTGTGTTATTCGAATTACTGATGAATTAGAGTAGAGAGGTTCTAGAACCTCTCTAGTTTTGAGCAGATTTTCCAGTGCGGTATCATGAATTTGGACTCCTTTACAGAGCTGTTCCAGATTCCCAAGAAAATAATGAACCGTTGATTGACATGGCGGACCCAAGAATGAAACCAAGAGTGTTAACCAAATATATCATATTAACAATATGATCCATTCATGGCTTTTCCAAATGTTGCAAGCGTTTAAAAAGGTCAGCAACAATCATTCAATTACAACCGAGGGGTGCAAATATAGCACTTATTACAAAAGTAAGCGTCAAATTATTTTCATTAATTACATTGTGTATATTGCTTTAAAATTTGTCTGACATGTCTTTGTTGTCATCAAATAAAATAAAATGCTGAAATACATACTTTTGAAATATTAATCAAATTTTCATTTGACTTACCCCTCGTGACAATAAACAAATACATTGGTAGCATTTTTGGCCACAGAGGTGCTTTCATCGCTGAAAATTCGGGTCGCCAGCTAAGCGAAAGAGTGGATCATATTGTTAATAGCACAAGCTGTGCAAGTATGAAGAAGAATAAGTTCTTGGCTATGCATATACAGGTCAAGGATACCAAGGTTACGCTGCGCATTTGCCTGTCGAACTACGAGGATGAAGCGAACCTTTTACAGTAGGAAATTGTACTGATTGCAATACGCTTTTCGGGGAACAAAAATCGGAAAACATAAATTTCCCTGTTTTACTAATTGGAACCACCAACGACAAGGTGTTGGTGATTGAGGATTTCAAAACCACTAGCATCGTTATCATTCTGATCCGTAGTGGCAAATAGATTATCCCGGTGTAATCGAAGCGTTTCATGCAAGACTTATATAGCTCGATCGTTCCAAAACGCGACACGTGAAAGAAGTTGATTGGTTGGTTGTTTTTAATTTAAAAGTTTGAACAATCGATACTTATTTATTCACATGTCATATGTTAAAATAAATTGATGAAATTTAAGTTTAACAATCGTTGCCGTTAGCTGATAGAATCAATGAAAAAATGGATTCGACATCAACACATAGCAGATATGGCTTTTCAATGATGTCCAGCTCTAATAATGGTTCAACAGATGATAATTGACGATTCCAAATCAGAAGAAATATAGTTCATATTTACAACATGTTCACTTTGTACGGCAAAGGGGCATAATTGTGCGCAGCACTAATTCCGTGTACTTCGTTAAATTTTGCAGTATTTAACAGTTTTATCTAAATTTTTTACCATGCACAAGTAGTTAATACCTGCCATCATGTTCAATTCAATTCAACTGCGCAGAATTATGGCACTTTACGGCAGAATAAACACGTTCGGTGGGAAGCTACAAGATGCGACTCTCCAGATGCCACAAGCTCGACAACAAGTACAATGCGAATGGTGTGGTAAACCTTCACAACTTCTTGTTGAGATTCGATACTCCTAAGAGTCTTAAGTTAGTGTTACATGGCCAAGTCATAACAGTCGAATGGTACCTAATCTTATAACGCAACTATCGATAAAACCATACGAACAACGGGGGGAAGGGTTTTATGATTGTCAACCTGACTTCTTCCAGTAACATGTCGAATGGATCATGCAAAATTCGCATCAAAGTGTGACATATTTGATAATGCAGGTATAATGCGGAAATGATGCAATTGGTTTCTAAATTGGCGAAACAATCAGCCACTGTTTGTTCCACCGTTGACGATTCTTCTCCACTTTGCTATAATTTATAGTTGAATAATTTTTGCAACGTTCTTCTCTTATTCGAAGACCATATCTTGATGCAAATAAAACAAAAAGAAACATTTAAAATAGCTGTTAAAGCTTAAAATATTAACACTGAAGTTTTCAAATATTCACACAAAATCCTGGACGACATCCGATAAATAAACAACTAAAATGTGTTTAGCAACGGTGGCAACAGCCTAATACAAACTATAGGTTAAGTTTTTCCAGGTACCTTAGGTATTCGTAAGAACATTCTGAGTATAACGCGAGAAATATAGAGTTTAGAGTGGGATGCCCCTAGTTCCCGACGAATATTCCAGACGCCAATTTCAGACTTCGTAGACAAAGTAACCAGACATTCTCGAAACACAACCCGAGCAAATTCTGAAATCAAATTGAAAACTAATTTTGATGTTGTGGTGCCGCTGATAATGATTACTTAGGTTGCTGTCGCTTTGGTCGTTTTAACGCATCAAATATCAAAGTTGAGAGCAAACAAATCTTACTGTGACATAACACTGAAAACAAATTCTGCTGCCAGTGAGAGCAAACTGAAAACTCATCAAATTGGCACAGGTACAAAACAATAAACACCTTATCTTTCGCTATCCAATAAACCACCTTTACCAGGACGGGAGTCGCTTCCAGTGGTTTCATTGTATGGCAGTAGCGCCAACGGGCGTTTCCATTGCAGCAAAGGACGTAAAACGTGGTCAGCACTCACACACTCATCACCAAATGGTTGCTTTCCAAAGTCGACGACGAGATTCCGCATCGAACGTTCGACTGTTTCGGTCTAGTGTTGCTTGCACTCCGTTATCAGTACTAGTTTTTTTTTCCCTATTGAGGTTTTTTTTCAATCCGCTTTCACACTAAGTGGTGTTATAGTATACACAAGTGTAGTGAGCATCGCGGAATTGCATCTGCCGCACAACCGTTCGAGAAAGGAAGCAGTCATTTCCGGCCGAGTCCGGCAGATGAGCTGTTCATCTTTAGCCAACAAATTTCATCGCATCACGCCACTGCAACATCAAGGTCATCGAGTTCACCAGCCGGCGAGCCAGCCGGTGCTTTGTTGCAAACACTCGAGGGCAACAATAGAACGATCATCACCATCATCCTCACATCAGTAGATCATCGTCATCAGCCGCACTCCGTGCGCTTGTGTGGAGAATTAAGTAACAAACGGTTATCTTCCGTTCTCCGCAACCTGATTAATCTCCATACAGCGTTGAT